TTTTGTAAAACTTCAAACCCGATTTCGAAATCACTCGGGTGTCCGAATTCACTTCAAAAAGCGGCATCCGCTCAAACTTGAATTGGTAATAATGTTTCGTGAAATAAGTGAAGTGAGTTTCGAAATGATATAGGATTTAAATATCTATGACACGTTTAATCAGTCAATTTTGTTTAGTATTTTTATACAAAAAAATGTAATCAATAGGATTTCTTTACTAAATGACTAGAATTCGGACACATGAGTGAATTCGAATTCGGGTCTGGATTGTTACAGAATCGCAGGGCTGGTGCATTATAAAATCGTATGCTGAGAACGATAGTGACACAATACAAAAAATACGATTTTCAGTAATGAGCGTTTAAAGTTCAAGAAATTGTATTCCGCTCTCTAAATAACGTATCGTCACTACGCCACCTAGCACTTTCTATGCAAACTACGTTCACAGGGATCTTTGCATTTTAAAGTTTAAACATAATAAAGAAAAATGTTACCAAAAGTAAAAATACGTTGTTTTTGGTTAGCGACATTGTCATTCTCAACGTGCGAAATGTTGTTGTATATGCAGTATATACAATTGCCCGCGATTGTTGTTGTTAAGCAATTTCCACAATGGTTATTCACGGGATGGGTGGCCGAAAAATTATTATATAAAAGTTAGAGTACTTTTAGTAGAGATGTACATTAAAGACTAACATTTAATAAAGAAGTTAATTTCATAGCAATTTTTGCGTTAATGATTGATTTAAATAAAACATATACTAAACTAAATGTTAACGGAAGATTACCACAATAACACAGTGAAAACTGCATTCAAATCGGTTCATCTGTTTCTGAGAATCACAAACGCACAGACAAAAATTCTAGAAATCAGCGTTTTGTGTTCATTACGTTTATAAATGCCCCATAACAGTTTTTTTTCTCAATGTACAGACATTGATCGATCAGTTAACGTTTTTATTATAGTACTAGCTGACCCGACAGACTTCGTCCTGTCAAAAAGCCTACATTGCTTAGACAACAGTGAGTGCTTGTAATTTAATATGAACTTTATACCATAGCAATAAAGCTCAAATTGACTACGTTTTAGTTACAAATCATTTGTATGGGAAAAAGAAAAGGGCTATTTTTAGGGTTTTTCCAGCAATAATTCTAATTTTTCTCGCCGTAAAAACCATCCTTGAACTTCAACGAACATTTAAAAAAAAGATTTGGCCAAATTGGTCGAGGCGTTGTTGAGTTATGCGCTTACCAACACATTTTGCGATTCATTTTTATATTATAGATAGATAAAATCAAATTAAAATTATTTAATCAGTTGTTACTTAAAAGTTACAAAGTCGAAACTAACTTTAAAATGTAGGTAACCTTAGCATTTTGTTAACGGTTGTTATTGTTGTGATTTAACTAGCATTTTGAGAATATAACATTTAAATTGATTTAATAATAAAGGCTTTTGTTGTAAGAAAAATTATAGCGACATAAACAACACTAGTTGTTTTTTCGCTATTTCGCGAACGTAAATTATAAGTAGCTTATGTCACTCGCGTATGATTTACTTTCCCGTACATATATGAGAGAATTTTAATTTTCGAAGATTACCCCCTACAAACAAACAAACGAAGATAGAAACTTTACCTATACAGATTAGTTCATTTTTATTTTTATTTTTTGCGCATTTAATAAAACCATTTGTTTTTATATCTTTAGTTATTCTCATACCCATAATTTAAGAAAGTGAGGAAGCCTAAACTTAATTATTATACATGCGGTTTCTGAATTGAGAATTTGAAGTTAAGCACGTCTCAAACTGTACTTAAACGTCAGTTAAATAGGTTTTCGTTTTTTATTTTAGTTTTTTTAATGATCACCTGCTAGCGTTTGATAAAACTAAGACCTTTTGGCTTCTGAAACGTAAAACACTTAAGTTATGGAGAATAATTAGTTGAGATTTTGTATTTTTCTCAATTCAGAAACCGTTTGTCCGCTATCTAGGTTGGTCCGCCATATTGGATTAGGAATACAGTTTTTTCATTATTTTCGTTTGTTTCTTTTCACACTTTTATATTAAGTATAACAATTCTCAAAATATAGATATGTAGTTATCTTTTTTAAGGACTTTTATCTTTAAGATATGTCAGACCTATCGTATCCTAAATTTACATATATTACCTACAGCTCAAGCAGCAGCAAAACAATAATAGAGAGAACAAAAATCACCGATAACTTACCGTGTTGCATATAAATTTAGCTAACCATGCACTCATTTTAATTAAGCTGTAGGTATACAAACGTTCAGCTTTAATCGTTTGAGGATAACTGTTTTAAAATTAATTAACTAGTAATAAAATCATACATACCTACATTGTAACTTAATAGTAAGATGACACGGCATCTCAGTGATACAATAGAAATATTTATCTTTATGATGAAAAGCTTAAAAATACTACTACTGTTTATTGTATTGACAGTGTAAATTCAGATTAATGAGGTGCCATTTTTGTTATTAGCAAAGACTTCTATAACCAGATTTTCTTATACGAGTTGTGTCATAGATGAGAAAACGTCTGCATGCCCCGAACATATCTAGTTACTAAATCAACATTAGTTTTTCTAAGCATATTGCGCGCAAGAAGAATTGTTACGTCATTTAATCATGTGAAAATATCTCGTTATTGACAAAAGATTGTGTAATGTTGATGCTTGCTAGGATTTCCAGCAAGCTAAAGTGGGAATGTATTACATACATCATATTACTATTTATAAAATGGTTTTGTACAAAGAAATAAAGTCCAACTAAATTAAATACTTAATATTAAAAAAAAACTTGATAACAAGGCTACCTACCACTTAATTTATAACTAAAAATATTGTCATCTAAATATATATGTATAAGTCAAAGGTGACTGACTGACATAGTGATCTATCAACGCACAGCCCAAACCACTGGATGGATCGGGCTGAAATTTGGCATGCAGGTAGATGTTATGACGTAAACATTCGCTAAGAAAGAATTTTGATCAATCCTACCCCCAAGGGGATATAATAGGAGACGGAAGTTTGTATGAAACTTTATCAATTTCAAACCGATCGAGCTGAGACATTGCATGCATAAAGCTACTATGACGTAGGCATCCTATAAGAAAGGATTTTGATAAATTCCACCCCTAAGGGGATAAAATAGAAGATGAAACTTTATTTCAGGTACTTTACTCGATATAATTAATAAATATTCGTTAGAAATGCTGCTCAAAGTAACTTTACCACACGGACGAAGTCGCGGGCAAAAGCCAGTTTTAACATATAAGGAAAAAATCTAATCAAAACACTGGCGCCCTCTCTTGACAGTGAAATCAGATCCATTCAATTTCAATCTTAAGTAATTTTACCTTTCCCAACACTTATTGTAGAAATACTAAGCTGCCAGCCGTATCTGTGAGCAAGTCATAAACCTGAATAGTTAGGAATGGCAATAACCTCTTTTTTATTATTTCTCAAGACTATGCATTTTGTTTGTATGTCAAAAGATTTTTAATTGTTGTGACGCCGTTTTGGACCTAAATCACCTCGGACCAAAGGTAATAACATTCGTCACGCACATCCAATATACGAATACGAATGCAAGAGTTAGCCGAGTGACGTAATAGACTTGCTTGTTATTAAGAGATAATGTAACAAGTGTGTAGAGCATTTACAGCATCGCACTAGAAACCGCATTTTGACAGCATGTAAACTCTAAGATCAACCACACACGGTCATTCATTGACAAAATTAAAATGACGACGGTAATTTTTAAGTTAAGTAGGTATCGGTGATTTTCACAATCGTAAGCAATTGTAAAGGTCAAAAGCTTAGCATCAGTTGACAGAAACATTGTATTCGAAAGAAACCCAAAGAAGACTGTATTTTTTTACCTGTTTAATAATAAAACTACCGAGCTTAGTAATTCAAATAAAAATTAAAAGGTATTTTTAATTTTACTTCTCCGACCTTTATATCAGATTATAATACAGTATATAAAGGGTCCTTTTAAGGGTTACTTTTATGTTTGTGTTAACGTCAATTTAGAGTTGCAATTTATATGGAATAGTGGCGCTGAAAGGGATAGTTACTGTATAAAAGTTGACTATTATAGTTAGCAGTAAGCACATCTGACAGCTTCTTGACTTCGTGATGGAATTTCACGATACTGATGTCACCACTAGGGTGAGACGCATAAACCATTAAATATAAGTGTTATGCAGTCGCAGTTTAGAGCGGCCGGTCATAACTGCGACAAGTTGTGAGTGTATTGCCGGCCTAACGGTGCACAAGAACAAAAGGCTAATCTTTAACCAAATGTCCAAAGAACGTTAAGCGGCCGCCAACATTACGCAATTGTGCAAACGGCAGTATACAAATAGACTATTATTAGTATAGTGTACACGTGCTGTAGCTAATTTGTTTTCATTAAAAAAGAAATTCGATTTACTCCTTAAAGATTGGAAAAATTATATAGAGTTAAGAAAGGATAATTATTGTATAGCTTCGTATATGAAATGAGAATATTATCCTAATTTTTACGTAATAATCGCATCTCATAAGAATCTTAACTACTTGCATTTTGCCCTTTTACTGTCTACCTGTGTAATTCAATATTATTAGTGCAATGTTTTTATTGTTTTTTCCTTACAATTTCTTCCAAATCTATGGTGACAGATATAGATATAGTAATTGAGATCTAGTAACAGGAACTGTAACAACCATAAATGATTGTACCATTTATAGCACAGTTGAAGCGCGTACCACAACAGCGTAGCGTAGCGTTTAGAGGTTCAATAAAATAAAACCTATTTCAAGCCGTAATAAAGGTTTTATTTGATATCGTACTTCTTGTTCCGTATACGTTTCAAAGTGTTCCACGTGTTCTATAATAAACTATTAAAAAAAAAAGCATTGTCAATGCACATAAAGCCGTGGAAATAATCAAATAGGTTGCAAATCTTTTAATATTATCCTACCTGTATGGCGACTCCGTCGACGGATATTGTGATTTCTACCTTCTTGCATTTGGCAGCGTCTTTAGTTTCAGACTTCTTCAGTTGTTGTGTGAACTGCAGCTTCTTGATGGCATCTTTGACAACCTCGATGCCTTTAGGCTGGTCTACTTGCGTACAGCCTAAGAACTGGAATATCAGAAATATTTTCGTTACCGTTGAGTATGAAAGAACGAAATAAAAAAATATAGGTAATGTGAATTTTAATGGACGTTTGTATAGCAGGCAGAATTTTATTAAGGTGAACAAACAACACTGTAAGCAACCTTTGGTTAGGGTAAGTTTGAACTGTAACCAGAAATTTTCTAACATTCATAATTATAGAATTTGAATGAAATAAAAACTGTTAATATCTAATAATAATAGTATTAGTGTTGAATAAAATTCTTGTTTATTTGTTAAATATATTTTCATAAGTGATTCTATTAACTTATGATAAATATATATCTTTTACTCAAGTAATTACTTTTACTCGACTAACTACGAGATACGGGTGTAAAATAACCCAAGAATATTCTATTGTAAATATTAACGTCATTTATCATAGTAGTATATTAAGATTAAATCTTTTTTAAACGTTAAAGTATATTGTTAATGATATTTCTACTTTTATATTTACTAGTTAAATACGAGGGTCAAACTGAAAGTTCTTAGAAAATCAAAAACTGATTACATTAGCCAGTTATTAGTTTTATTATATCTTTTCAAAATATTGTCCATTCACGTCAATACACCACTGGGAAAAGCACTTTGCCCACTCGTCCTTAGGGGTCTCTTCAATGGCATCGCGATACGCAGCCACCGCTTCTTCAGCATTCATAAACCGCTTTCCTTTAATTTTTTCTTTAATTTTTGGAAATAAATAAAAATCACAAGGCGCGAGGTCGGGGCTATACGGCGGGTGACCCAGTAATTCAACGTTTGATGTCGCCAAATAGTCGATCGTTCGTTATCGTCAATTTCATTAGTTTAATAGCAAAAAAGTTATTTTTTATAACAAATATAGCCCTTAATAGTATTCAACGGAACAAACAGTAATTTTTCTTTAGGAAGGTCAAAAATTGATGGATTGGATCGATCGTTAGCACGGATATTTATATGCTATTATCAGTAACACGTGCGTCGTAACAATAGACGCGACTGTTGGGGGCGTTTTATCAAATACTGCGTATCCTTTCATTTGTATATTTGTTTTTTTTTAATACAATTAAAAATGTTTATAGCATCTGGTTTTCCAACGTATAAACAAAAAGATTAAGGCCTAGCTGCAATGAAAAATGGGAAAACCAAATTATATCTAAGGAATAAAAAAATACAGCTAAAGTTCACTATTAGTTAATCACTTCTAGTAAGTATAAAGAGATCTGTATTACTATAGCAAAAACTATACTAAAGCAATGAATGAGGGGTTCCCTTTCAAAACAAGTTTTTTTTTATATGAAGACGGAGTCTGAACTTTATAACGTACTTACCAACTATGATTTAAATTCACCAATCGATTTGCATCTAAATTAAATTAATGTATATTGCAAAATTTTGTTAAAAAATAAAATATGAATAGGTAATATTAATTTCAGCGGTTTTATATTTAACCATGGGAATGGGACCTGTTTTTTTTAAAGCAGCGTATTCTAATCTTTCCTGAACTTTAGACCCTAAAAATCAGTAGGTATATTTCAGATCACCGATTGTATTATAAAAATAATCCTTTATAGGGTCCTACAAAACAAAAACTGCACGCTTTTTGATATAGAAATAATGTTTTCTTTTTTGCAACTAATAACTATTGTTACATTTCTATCTACTCTACTGTTCTCTATTATACAGTTGTAATTCCATTGGCGCATAATCACTGTGGACTCAACGGAACACCATACAATTAGGCCGTCTATCCCCAGGGGACCGCAGATTTAACATGGTGAACTATTTACGTTTTAATATTAGTTGTTCTTATTCTCTCTCACCTTAACTAAATAAGCGACGTGTCCTTTGATTAGGGCGTCAGGCGCGTGAATCCAGTTTCGGCCGTTTGGAGCACCGTTCGCTTTCCCCTTCCCCTGCCAAAACAGCAGGGTGGACATCCTATAACAAACAAAATAAAACATTACAAAATCACCTTTGAAAAAAAAAGAAAAAAAGCAGAGTTTTATAAAATTTATTTGAAAACCTTCCGCATAATATGATTCCGTTGCTTTGTATTAATAAAAAACTAAAAGTTTTAGAAATTATTCACAATGTCCTGTCATTTGCCGCCAGTTTGCGAAAACGTCGATTTTAATAGCAATTTTTATTCTTATCGCATATTATTACCAGACAGCGGGTTGTAAGCGATAAGACGATAATAGCTGTGGTTTTAAAGAGCAAATCAAATCGTTTTAAATATTAGGCATTTTCGTCGCAAAGTGAACCCACGCTTAAAATGGTAGCATCATGAACTCAGGAGATACCGGGAGTGAGATACCAGTGAAAAGTGACATTTGGATGTAAAACGTTTCTCGATTTCAAAATGCTACGCGTGCAAATCGAGAAAAGGTTGGTCTTCCGTGCCGGATCCCAGATCCAAGGGTACACCCGCAAGTGGATTTTAAAAATGTCTTTCATTTTGCCTTTTCATTTAGGGTAGGTCCGAGAACAAAAAAGGTCGAGAAAATTTTGGGAACCCCTGCTACAAGTTGATATAGCACACTATACTATGACATTTTAATTAACCGACTTCAAAGAAAAAACGAGGTTCTCAATTTGACCTGTTTGGTTGAACCGATTTTGATGCGGTTTTCAGAAAATTATTTTTAGTATTACCTATTTTATAAAAAATATCAATATCGCTAAAAGCACGAAATAGAACCTTTAGAAAAAATAACCAACTTCAAACTTAAAAAAGTGAAAAATAATACTTATCTCAAAAGCGACTTATTCAATAAAATGCTATTAAAGTCGGGCGCCTATCATTTAATTATAAACTTCAGAAAACCCACATAAATATTTAAACAATAATCTAGATATTTATAAATGGTGAACAATGACGAGAAGTATTTGTTATGTATATTTAATTATAGTAATTGATTATTTATTATTCTTGTAAATCGTGATATGATCATAGATAATGTGCTAAAGAATGCTATTAATATAATCACATGATCTATACAATATTGTGTATGAATAAATCACCATATTCTAGAGTACTAGGTACCGTCGAGGACAAAATTTTTCTAGCAGTTTTTGCAGAATGAGAAGTACTTTTCACTCGACCACGGTGAAGAGAAAAGGAACGTTATGATTCAGTTACAATGAGTAGTTTCGAAGTTATAAGGGAACAGATAAACATTCTTACATATATACATACCGAAAGATGTTTATCTGTTCTCTATGAGAACAGTTGAAGAGAGCTTCTTCTATAACTTCGAAACAGCTCATCGTAACTGGACAAATGAGGTTTCATTACAAGCGTCTTAGTTGTTGGCATGAAAAATCTATGTTACGTTACATTAAATTGGCAACAGCGCCCGTTACATTAAAGTAAAAAGCTTAAAAATATATCCGTGTAGACAATATTAGGGTATCAAATGAAAGGGCTTAATTAGCATTTGGAAATTTATTTTATAGCGATGACCAAAGAACAGTATAGTCGTATGCCACAACAGATTGTTTTGTTATGATCAGTGGCATACGACTACGCTGCTCTTTGGTATTATAATTAGCTATTGCTATAAAATTTATTTCTTGCTTCAAACTTTTTAGAGCGTGATGTAGTCGGGTTTCAGTTTTTGAACTTATTTTTAAGAACTTATTTAATGTTCGAACTAATCTCCAATGCCTTGAGGTAGTTGTTAGTTGACGACGAGAAATAGAAAATGGACTATTTTGTCGCATAACAATAGGAAGAGGAGGCGGAGCTCTCTAGAACAGCGATGAGCACACCCAGTTGAAGACCGGTCAAAGGATAGGTGACCGAAAATCTAATTATTTCGAGCTCCTCCACAATTCGGAAGGCAGCTAATCACTCTAATATAGGTAATGCCTGTTCATCAGTAGTGGGGATATTAGTAATTAGGAGGCTTATTATGATGATGAATAGTATAGTTAATGAGACAATAGCATTACTGTTAATTTTTTATTGTTTCTCTCAATTTTATCGTTATAAAAACTACCAAGCGATTCGAGTCCGCACAGTTGCTGGTGCGAATCTGTGGAGACAATTAATGATTAAAAATTTAAAGATAATTTGGTTATTTTTTAGCAAGGATTCTTACCATAGGATCATGCTGAGAATTTATTACACGAGACCACACGTATACTTTTACACAACGACACATGTGGATGTTTACCTTTCGCTAAAAAAACTATTAAACGGATTCTGCCAATGAAAAATACGTTTACAGATAAAATATTTATTTGAAATCTTAGTGCCGTTGGCATTGTAATTATATTTCTTTGATTACATATTATTACGGAGTAACGTTATGCCATTAAATATATATATATTGAATTGAATTCAGTTTTGATATAAACTACATTTTTAATAATAACAAAGCACACCAATATATGAAAACAAAACTCTTTCTTTGTTGGTCGCACAATATAAAGCAGTGTTTATTTAACAAAGAACGTTTACCTACAATATAAGGTCATTGACAAACCTTGCATTCGTACAGTTGGCGATAAGCCAATAATTGAATTTACATTCAAGAGACATAAAGGATTTCTTTTTTGTTCGCTAAATGAACGCTTTAGGGAACTGAATTAATGACAGAAAGGATATGGATTATCCATATGAGACATTAATTTATTATGATGAAATCTATTTCTGTATTAAAAGTTGTATGTGTTTTAAAGTTGGAAATACGTTTTCAACAGCTTCACAACAGCTTCATCATCATCATCGGCAGTTTTTAATGTCTTCACTGCTGGCGACAGGGTTTGTAATTATCAAGATAATAATTTTTTTGGATAATTCTCCTTTAATAATAAGTACTATAATATAAAAAGAGTTTGTGTCAAACACTTTTTATAATTATCAAAGTATATATTAATTTATATAAATATCGTGATAATTATCAATGATAATTATCACTTTCAAACCTACCTGGCGCTCAGACCTTCCCTAGGGATGGAATAAATAACATCGAACTGGTAGAATTGGTTTGCGCAAGACCCATTAAGACCGGACCTAGTACGTATTGTTGTTCTTTTAAAAGCTTAGATATACGATTAAAATAGAATTCATATTAACAACATTTCTGTAATCAGCGTAGTTTGTATTTTTAATAATCTAATATTGTATTCGTTAAGTTAAATTATCTTTCTTTTTTTTTTAACCTGCTAACTTCTGAGAAAAAAAAATTGACAATATATCTGTTAATACCTAAGTTTATATTTTTAAAGCTAGAAATGGCAAATTTGCTTCGAATAAACAGTAACATTAATAGGTAATAAAATAAAATAAATCTTGATTTATTTTTATGGATTACTCTTTTAAGAAACATAGACGTGGATAATCTTCAAATAAAAAATTAACATTGATTAAATTGACACGTTATATGTAGGTAATTAGCTGTTCCCGCGTCTTCGCACGCGTAAATTACAGCCGTGTATGATCTAGCTTTAAAAACGTATTCGATGCCAACAAAATGGACTGACATTTGAATCTTTCCTCTTTATAATATTAATATATATAACTTAGATTCTTCTAGCGTTAATAAATAAGCATTAGGATTGTACGAAGACCTGCATTTATCATTTACCAAGGACTTTCAGAAAAAAAAATATAATTATTAATAAAAATTGTAAGTGATTATTAGGTATGCAATTTTAAGTAATCACTATTGTCGTAATTATATACTATGTTCGGTGTCTATCTGAATAAAAATCTCGTGTTTCACAACTGTTTACGTCATGTGATAAAAATAATGATTGAATCTGGCACTGAATAAAATACACCAGTATAAATAAATATTATGAAAATAAAGCATGCAAGAACTCTATAAAAATAAAATCTAATGTAACCAGGTATAAAATTGATTAATGCATATCTTTATGATTATTTTAGTAGCGATCTATTATATACCCTGTCACGGCAAAAAGTTTCAATGAAATAAAGCTTTTATTACCTTTACAAGTAGGTTTTATCCATTAAATATATAGATATTGCAGACCATGCAGTGACAGAGCGCAACATTTTGAGAGTGTTGCGCTCGTCTTCAAGTTATAGGCAGTTTTTATAATAGAATAGCATTCAGACTGTCTTATATATGGGTAGTTCTACAAACTAAGGAATTTTCGGCGGCTCAGTTCAAATATGATAAAAAAATGTTAATAATAGTTTATTTTGTATGGAATACTGTTTATTACAACTGTTTCTAGATGGTCACTAAAAATAATCAAGATTTACAATTATTTTCTGATCAAAATCACTATTCAAAGTGCCGAATTCTCAAGATCCTGCAGTGTCCCTCTTGCAAATTTTAGTTAAAATTGCGACGTGATTCATTTACTTTTGCATTTTGGTCTTAAATTAAACCCTATTTATTAAGTTTACTAAATCTCCTGACTATATAGAACAATTATTATACGGTTTACTTAAAAATATATTGAATAAATCTTGTTTATATTTTGTCCCCACGACTTCATATCAGAATCCTGTACGCTGTAAAACATGTAAATATTTACTAGGCTATTAGCCTTGCGTCGTTACTGTTTCACTGAGTCGATAGAACCTACGAAGAAGACAAAGAATATCATTTATCTATTCTCTCCCAGCGCGTTGTTTAGTGAGCCCAGTGCGTATGGCGAGTGCAGTGTTGTCGTAATCAGTGGAGTTCACAGAATCCTGGTAAGATTTTTATTTACGAAATAAATAATAAATATGAATAATTTTCGCGTTTTGATATGTAAGTTGCTAGCGCGTAGGTCTAGTTTAGGTTATTTTTGTTGAATGTTATAAATTGAAGTGTTTATTTTATTTTTACACAGAAATTATCAGGAACCTGGCTTCAGGATCCTGTCGAATTGGTAACCAGGATACTAGGAACCGTTCATGATACTGAGAAGATCATTATAAAAATACTGTTTCTGTGTAAATATTC